AAAATTCTGTTGAATTTTCTCATAAAAAAATTAATTATTTTGAGATCAAATAAAGAAATCTTAACATTATAATTAATATAGGAATAGATATTATTTTCGTTAAAATCTCATTAAAATTAAAAACAAGAAATTGTCTTCTATACATAATATTATAATTGCATAATTGGATAAAGAACCGATGAAAAAGAATTGTTTTATAATAAATATGTATTATATGTGGGGCTCTGTATATGTATAGTGTTATACAATTTATATTTACAATTTATAATTATAATTAACATACACATTACATAAGAACATTACAATTAATTTATTAAATATATGTACATATAAAGTAACATTAAAAAAAATTTAGAAATTATATAATAATGTTATTGATAATTATAAGAGGACATAGAAAGACGGATGTGTGCAGGATTTACTGTCGAGCGCAAAATTATGGCTCTAAAACACGACCGAAAAATGTGCATAGCTACTTATTCACATAAACACATAAATGCGATTAAAGCTGCGGCTTGTAAAACGTAGTAAGATTGTAAGAAAGGGACTTCCTGCGGGAAGTAGAAGCTGTCTAGACACGCGTGAAATTTTTACACCCCACGTATACATCTATCAATATGTACAATACATATACACATGTGTGTATGTGCTCGGACTCAAAGTTAATCTGGATTAACCGGTCTTGAGCTCTTCACGGTTGCAAAGTGAGAAGGGTGGCAAGAAACGGGACAAAAGTCGAGATCAAAGAAATATATCTTTTAAAGAAGCGAGCCAAGTTCTCTCTCCTTCTTTTTGCCCCTATCTATTTATCTATCTATATATTCCTATCTCTATCTCTCTCTATTTATCCATCTATCTTTCTCTCGTTGTCAGTTGCATCGACTTCTCTCTCTCTCTCACGTCTCTTGCAATGATTAATTCGGCATTATTCCGATAATAACCTTACGCAATTAGAACTGTATCGCTCTGGAACAACCAAGCGAAGCATTTAAAATCACATGAATAGTCTTAGGAACAAAATTAAGTATGTCGTTTTACGTCCTCTAATCTTATGATTTTTGAAAAAAATTTTTCAATTTTGAGTTAATCTATTCTCTTAATTAAATTATGGGACCATCTATCTTTTTCAAGTGTTATATAAATCAAAAGATTTTAAAAAAGATTAAAAATAAAATGTTTATGCGTATTTCAAGAATCAGATATCGCCATCTTATTATATTATTCATTCAAATAGATTCGTGCTAAATTTTTATTCATAGCATTTGATTCAAGATTGGCGCTATATGGTATTTAGCGTTATGTAAAATGTCGTAATAAATGATGGTTTTGCTTAAACATTTCTTTAAAAACTCGTTGGAGAAACTTTCATTTTTCAATTACTAAATAAGTAAGTATAAAAAGTAAGTGTTAATGCAGACTTACAAATACGATCGTTACATACGAGCACTCGATGTTTCGACGGTGATATCTCTTAGTAAGCATGACTTACACCATTCTTATCCCAATTGCGCGAAGCAGATGGCCGATCTCGTGCACGTCCAAGCGATTTAAGCCCTCTTCTTTTTAATTATCGCTCCTTGATGGACATCATGTGAGGCGCCGTGATGCGAAGTCCGATAATGCTCAAGCATAATGTGTAATAAATCATAAGGGGATGATCTTCGTACAATCTTCGTGTGATATATCGTGGTACGCTTGTTATAACAGATGTTCGACACGATCTTCATTACGAGACGGGTGCAATGAAAAAGAAAATCCCGACTTTATTCTGTCATATTCTATCTCAAGGCCGCGAATCATCTTCTCTGTATTATCTGTGCGATTTCGAAAAGGCCGACAAATTATTAAATCTATTAATTTATCGAAACAATCATCTAATTCTAATTTGCAAATTAAATTAAAATTAAACCTTTGTATAATCAAATTAGACTATAATACTGATTTTATTGTAATTAAAAGACAAATTTATGAGAGTAAAATATTCATTAAACGTGAAACAATCTTTCTTCTTTCTTTCTAGTTTCTACATAAAAGATTCAATGCAATAAATGTATATACAAAGCGTGATGGGGACAGAAAAGAGAAGGAAGAAAAAGAAATAAAATGAAAAATTATGTATAAAATCTCTTCGAAATATATATTTCGAATAGAATATTTATATATTTTTTATATTTAATTATATAAATATATAATTATATTTATATTATTATATTTATATATTTTTAATATTTTTTATATTTCAAGAGAATATTCTCTCATTTTATATTACCGTTCAAGATCGTACCGCTTTATCGATTTACAATTGGAATTCGTTTGCGTGCGCAATGCGCCGCTCTGAATTCCATTCGGGTTTTTGAGGGTCGGCTTTTAATTTGCCGCTAATGATACTAAAATCGAAAAGAGTCTGCTTATCTTCCTGCCAGCTTCTGACTTGAAATTACTTCGTCTCTGCGTGTTCACTAAACCAGGGAATTTTCTATAGGACGATACACGATAGAATAAAAAAATGTTGCTCAAAACTAATGTGTAATCACATGCCAGAGATAAATTTCGTATTTATGTATTTAGAATTAGGACAAAAATACAGACAGAGCAAATTTGAAAAATAAGAGTTTGGAGATCCGAAAAATGTACAAAAGATTTCTTCAACATTCTAAGGTGACGTTAAAGTAATATATATTTATTATTAATATTCTAATGTGGACGATAACTTTTAATATTAGTATCGTCTATTTCACGATGTTAATATTCAGACCTATATCCTATTTTATAAAACGTCGACTGAGCATTTGAGATCCTATAATAATGATACCTTTCGGGGATGTCTGCGGAATGCGTGCGAATCATCCATCGAGGGATGGAAACAATTTGTATCAATAATTCATGACGATCAGTGTTCGATATGAAATTATAATCTATCGTTTGTGCGTCAGCCAACCATATGTATAAATTGACTCATAGTTTCTTATACATGCATATACAAAACGTGGGCGGAAGTGCCATTTATAAATCTGAAACAAAGGCAACGTATTTGATCGCGACAGACAGAGGAATGCAGACACACTATTTGTTTTCAATGCCGTAGAATATATTCGAAGAAGCACACTTTTACTCTCCATAACTGTATCTTTTAGAAACTGCATTGGTGCAGTGCCTGCATATATATTTAAAAATTATCTCGTATAGTTATTTTTTCTCTCGACTCTAATAATATTTGTAAACTCGAAAATTTAGTTATACTTACTTGTAATATTTATTTTACAATAATTTCAATTATTAAGTTATCTCAAGCTCATTCATATGCAGCGATAATGCTTGTCATAGAAAATAAAGTAAAGTTTATGAATAATTAAAACTTTAAATAAAATCTTAATATATATAATGATATATATATATATATATATATATATATTTATATATAAACGACAAAAAACAGTAACACATCTATATATTCACATACATTATATGAAATACATTTCTCTTTTGCGCTAATGATATATCACACATATGGTATAAAGATTCAATTAAGTAAGTATCGCTCGAAAGTTACGCTTTATTCTACTTTGTAAATTCTACTCTTTCCTCAAGAAAAGAGAGAAAGAAAGAGAAAACAAGATAAACTTCGTCATTCAGCTAAGCATGATTTATTTTCTGTGATTCTAACATATGTCGCCCGCTAGTAATCAGAATGATCTGCTTGAGTTCTCATTAGGCCAGAATTAGTGACGATATTCTGTGCTAAAAGCAAGTATATTTATGCCATGCGGCCTTGGATTTAGTGAAATTGCGCTGAGAAATTGCGCACAACGTGAAAAGTAATTATGACGGGTTAATATAATCTGCACGTAGTACGAGATATCTTGTCCGATTAAATACCCAACTTATACACAACTTTGTAATTACGTATAAATAGTTGTAGGAAAAAAATCGTAGATATATGCTCGTGCGCACGCGCGGGATAAATATTGAAATTGATTTTTAGAATATTATATAGTTATTAGTTATTACACAGAGAGAATTTTCTTTTAGAATTTACCTTGAAAATCATGTACAATATATAGTATTGGAAGAATTATATAAGAATTTTTCTGATTAATATTTACCACAATAAAAAATATGAATATCTACCACAATAAGATATAAAATATGTGCGAATTTTATTATGTGCATAATAAAATTTACTACACTATTAATATTTTTTATTGTGGTAAATATTAATCAGAGAAACTGTTATAAAATTCTTCCAATACCATATTATTTCACGATTACCATGATTTTTTACGGGGTAAACTAAGAGAAAATTCTCTCCGTGTAGAAATGTATTTGTGAGGACTGCCACGTTTCGCTTCCTCTCATCTTTTTCATTGAAAATCATAGATTAAGACAAACACTTCGAATAATATCGAAGTTGTTGAATAGTTTTTCGAAAAAGAAAACGCTAATAGTTGCAGCGTAGATGATTACTTGTTGATTTTCGCTGAGATCGTGCTGTTCTACTTACAATCCGACACGAAATTAGACCAATCATTAACATAAATACGAAGGTGTCTCGTAAATAATAATAGCTCGATGCTTACAGCTATTTCATGGCAGAACAATTACAGATTATGTCACGCTCACATACTGATTCGCCGAAGTTACTTTTCTGATTGTCAAAATTCGAGTAAAAATAATTTATTATTAAAACTAAAAATAATTTTACCTTGACGTATAGATATATTGTATTTATTTATATACGTATTTCTGTCATAGAAAAAAAATTATATATTTTTAAATATTAAACTGGTTGGTTTTGAAATAATAAAATATTTTAAAAATTTAAGAAGTATGTCATATTTGTTATTAGTTATTAAGGCTGATAAAAATGTTGAAATTGATATTGTGTTTGTGAGTAATTTTTAAAGAAGTTAAAAGTCAAAAAGTAACTCCGTACATTTAGATCGTTTAATGTGTATAATATAATCAATTTATTATTTCTTGAAATTATTTAATTACATTTATTTAAGAATATATAAATGTATAAATTTAATAAGTAGTTCTCTTTATAAAGTTCTATGGTGTAGTGTCGAAATAATATGATCCGATTCTGCAAGAAATTGATATTTTTATTATTATATAAAAATAATTTTTACATTATTCTTAAAAATAACTAAAATAAAATATTAATTATCGTCTTACCTTTTCGATGCACCATAGCCAAAATTAATCTCCACTTTGCGTTTGCATATAAGTAGTATGGGACAATAGAAAAACTGTGTGGCACTAAAATTTGTAGGATTCATTTTCGATTCTGCATACAGTACGACTGATTTTTGATGACAGCAAATATCTAATAATAACAGAATAAATGTTTGGATCAAAATATTTATATGTAATTTAAATCTTTGTAGATTTGTGCCGAGATGTGGATTCAACATTGTAACATCATGTACACACGCAGATTCTCCGCGAATTAATTTTTCAAAACATTTCCAAACAGTGATCGATCATAGTTGACAAATTATAACTTTTTCAAATTTTATATGATATTTTAAATATCATTTGTTTGTAATATATTAAATAAAGAATACTGATTTGTACAGAATTAATAATAGCATATTAGTCGCTTTGATTCTTACCTCTCTGGGTTAATGGTATGCCAGGAGAGCAACCAGGTTGAGGGCATCTGCCATTGTTTGGATAATAATCCGCTGTTCCACTGCGGAAAGAAGTGCCATATCGTCCCATATCTGTGTGAATGACATCTACCCATGCTGCATCTGTAGATCTGAGATAGTATCCCAATCCCAAAGAGAATGCACGATTTGCAGGATCCAATCCTAAACAAGGATAATTTTACAATTATTTTAAAACACAATATCAAACTGCAATTTTTTTCATGAATTAATTCTTATTTTCTTATAAATAAAGACCTGATAAAAATTTATAAATTACTAAACCTTTGATTATGTATATTTATTAATAATAAAAATAAAATTAATGATTTGCTCTGATATATCTAAATATTAATTTTATGTATGTGTACTTACACTTTTTTCTACTAATATTTTCTACTAATATATATATGTATATGTAATAATAAAAATATATAATATATATAATTATTGTGAAAATATTGTGGAATATTAAGGATCTATTTATATAAAAGAGAATCGATTTATATAAAAAAAAAGATATGATAGTTCTATTTAAAAAATCCAAAGTGGCATTGATTTTTTATGAAAAAACTTTTTCAAAGTTTTTTATTGCATGCAGTAGCTTGTGTAAAACAGATTAATTTTCTCTATATTAATTTTTTTTTTAATTCTCTGAAACATCAAAATTGTGCAGACCGTTAAATTGAACACTTTGTACATGTAACATATGTATACATATAACAGATTAAAAATAGCGAATTATATTAAGTTAAATGCTTTCTATATGTACTTATATAACAGATTAAAAAATAGCGGACTGTATTAAGTTAAATTGTTCTTAATTTTATATACATAGATCCTTCACATTATATTTATCATTTATTATCACAACTTCGATAGAATCAAAAAAAAAAATTTAAATGCGATGAAAATTTCAAATTTAATTTAATCACCTATGATGCGAGGTATCGTGAAGTTATCATTATTGCATCTAGCAGCAATACCAGCTATGTGGGCACCCAAGGAGTATCCAACCAAATAAATGTTCGATACATTAAGGCCGCTATTAACAAGCTGTCGTATACTTTGACCGAACAATTTGCCTATTCCGTGAGCGCGTAAAAAGGCGATCGGGTAAAGAACGTTTAGAATTTTTACTTCAGTCGAAATGATAGAATATTTACTCCAGTCGAGTAACACAATGTTGTCCGTTCTACCATAGCAGAGTGCTGATAATGGGAAAAAATCAACTTAATTGTATTTTTCTTTGATTTAATAATGGTCTATTTGTTTAATATATAAACTCGATACCTTTCATCATTAACTTAACATTTTCGTCTTCTGGGAATTGTAAAAATCCAAATACGTAAAAGATTGTCCGCTTATCTTCTAACACGTTTAACAATCCTTCTGGAGCTGTGATAGGGTAGGCGATTGTTGCAGGGGTTTCGTTATTGCTGTATTTAACGTGAATATTTATTCTAATTATTGATAATTATTATTTTAAAATACTCTTCCACACAAATACAAACCATTTATAATAAATGAGATTGACATCTTTCGCAAAATTTGAACTTGGCTCGCCAAAATCTGTAAAATAATATACACAGAGTACACACTCGTAAATATTCACGTAATGTTAATAAATGTAGAAAAAAGAATGTATTTACAATTCCAGTCTTCGTCGCATGTTGCTGTTGTCACGACAACTAACAAAAAGTAAAAATGCACAATAGTAGTCAACATTTTGAAAATATTCCCACGAATTATAAAAGATCCGTCTATATTTCTAATATGTATTCTCTATCGTGCAAATCTTCTCTATACACGAGAAAGTCGATACTAACGTAATATATAGTGCCACTTCCACACATATCAGAAGATTGATAACTAAAGATAAATAAATAAACGCGCATCTCTTAATCCGTGAACATTTATGATGCTTTTAAACGCACAAATATGAAAAATCATAAATGACAGAAAAAAACAAAATTATTTAAAAAAATTTTTCATGCTAAAATATCACAATTTATTACAAAATTTATTACTCAGAATGCATTGTATCACGAGGCTAGAATCAAATAATAATATGTACAATTAACGCGAGTTTAATATTAATATATTATATGTCATTATCATCACAATCATCTCATTTGCTTTTTCTAAAATAATTAAAAACACTAATATTAATATATTGTATATACAAATACATATATGTATTAAGTAATTAATTTAACATTTTAGAAAATATTAGTGATAACGCGAACTTTAAAAGAGACTAAATTATAAGGAATTATAATATATCTGATAACCTTTTATTCGAATTAATAAAATTTTATTCAATTCTCGCACAAGCAATAAAGTTTGACGATTATTAAGATTCGCCATAAATTTATTTTAATCTTAAAACAAAGATCTGATATATTTCTTGCTTTCTTATCTTTACGAAATCTACGAAATTGGTCATAAAATTTATAATCTTTGTTCTATTGTCGTCACTAGAGCGGCATCCTCGCACAAATATGCAAGTTTTAGGGAGATATAATTAAGACGATAAAAGTTTGAAAAAGAATGAAAAAATTGGTAAAAGAGATATATTTATTTGCAGTAAATGAACATCTTTTTTAGTTCAGAAATTTAATATTTTTATTATGGATATTTAAGGGAGAGAGCAAAATGTTGAGCTTGCATTGGGCGCAACGCAGGTTAGTTACAAGACATAAGTTCTTTCATTGCATTATCCCTTTCCTATTTATAAAAAAGACATGTTTAATCGATTCTCGAATGTATTGCAGTGCATTCGCGTGTATCGAAGACCTTTCGATAGTATATTGTTGCCCTTTTTTCGCGATGTTGTATGTATCAAGGACTTAGTTTATTGAAAGTTAAGTATATTAAAAAATTATATTTTTTATTATTATCGTATATAATTGTTAAAATCTGATGAATGTGTTTATTAATTTTGCGATTGAGTGGTTTCGACTACTCAGTTAGAAAGGAAAAAAGAAACTTGCAATAACTGTACTTTGAAAAAAAGAAACTTGCAATAACTATACTTTGAAAAAGAAAAGGAAAAAGATTTAATGTAGCATTAATTAAATTATTACGATTGCCAAGCAAAAAAACGATATATATTATTAATTTGCTTATAGATAAACGTAATTACGTGGGAGAACAAGTAAAAAAATAAAAGTGCAATTCCAGAAAGATTAATAAAGAAATAAGATCAGATTTTTCTTGTCGGCATATACTATCGGTATACATTTCCATAAAAATTGAAATTGTATCACATATATATTATACATATATATCGTCAGTCACGTAACGTATGAACGTTTACGCTTACGCATTTATATATACTATAATTTAACTTCTCAACTTTCCTTTTGCTCTTGTTAAAATCATGCCATATTTTCATAATACGCAATATGCACGTAAATGGAAAAATTGTCCAAAAAAATTGTATAAACGAAAAACAGAAAAATTGTTACAAAAAATTGTATAGCCAGAGAACAGAATTTCAAATATATATAGTTAACAAAAATATTTGACATACAAGATATTATTTTTTAACTAACTTTTCAAGAATATTTTAATTTTGACGTATGAATATATATGTATTTCTGTTATAGAAAAAATATTATAGTTTTAAATTATTAAACTGATTTGTTTTTAATAACAAAATAATTTTAAAATTTTATAGGTCAAATGATATAGAATGAGTTATTGTAGCTAATAAAAATAATGATATTAATATTGTGTGATTTATTTTTTAAAAAATTATAGGATAAAACAAATGACTTCGTAGTTTATTTAGATCGTTTTTAATATGTAATATAATTTATCATTTCGATCAAATTATTTAATTACATTTATGAATAAACATATATGTGTAAATGTAAGTTGTTCTCATAAAACTCCTGTACGTAAATAAAATAATCCGCATCTGCAAGAAGTTGTCATATAGATCAATATTTTTTGTTAATGTATAAAAATAAATTTTAAATTATACTTATTAGAGAAATAACTAAGTAATAAAATATTAATTATCTTACACATTTGATGAATTATATCCAACGTTAGTCTGCAGGTTGTCTTTGCAGTTATTTTTTGTATAACCAGCATAGGAAAGACACTGTGTTGCAATAAATTTTGTAGGGTCTCGTTTCGATTCTGCATACAGTTTGACTGACTTTTGATGACTGCAAACATCTAATAATAACAGAATAAATATTTGGATCAAAATATTGGTAATTTAAATGTTTGTATCAAAATTTGTTTGTACTGTATTATAAGCAACGAATACTGATTTGTAAAGAATTAATAATGGTATATTCAATCGTTCCGATTCTTACCAGTCTGGCTTAATAATGCGCCAATAAACATGCAACCAGGCTGAGGACGACTGCCACCGTTTACGTAATAATTTGCTGTTCCTACACATTCAAAAGTACCATATCCTCCCATATCTGTATAAATGACATCGACCCATGGTGCATCTGTGGATGTGAGATAGCATCCTAAAGGATAGAAGACAGGATTTGCAGGATCCAATCCTATAAATAAAAGATAATTTTGAAACGAAAACAATGATGTTAAAATATAATGTTAGATTGCAGATTTTTTCCTGGATTAATTCTTATCTTCTTATAAACAAAAACCTGATAAAAAAAATTATGAGTTACTTACCACTGATTGTTTATATGCAAAAATTATTAATAATCAAAATAAAATAATTTACTAATTTATTTGCATATTATATATATATATATATATATATATATATATATTCACACATTATTACTATCTGCATCAATAAAAAAAATTAGATGTGAAAATTTCAAATTTAATTTAATCACCTGTGATGCGAGGTATCACAAAGTCATTGCATTTACCAGCAAAACCAGCTATATGGGCACCCAAAGAGTGTCCGACAATATAAATTTTTGATACATCGAGGCCACTATTAACAAGCAGTTGAATACTTTTAGCGAACAAACTGCCTACTTTTTCGCCGTTTTGGAAGGCTCTTCCGTAAGTGTTTCTGGAATGTTTACTCCAATCGAGTAACACAACATTGTCCGTTCTATTATAACAGAGTGCTGATAATACAAAAAAAATACTTATTGTATTTCTCTTTAATTTAATAATTATTTATTTGTGCATGTTAAATTCGATACCTTCCGTCATTAACTTAACATCTTCGTATTCTGGATATTGTAAATATCCAAATATGTAAAAGATTGTCCGCTTATCTTCTAACACGTTTAACAATCCTTCTGGAGCTGTGATAGGATAGGTGATCGTTGCAGGGGTCTCGTTATTGCTGTATTTAGCGTGAATATTTATTCTAATTATTATTGATAATTATTATTTTAAGATACTCTTCCACACAAATACAAACCATTTATAATAAATGAGATTGACACCAGTCGCAAAGTTGGAATCTGGTTGACTGCCTATAAACAATAATATCCACACACATTACGCACTCTTAATATTCACGTAATATTAATAATACATGTAGAAATTAAAACATGTATTTACAGTCACATGTTCCTTCGACGCATATTACTTTTGTCACGAGAAATAACAGAAGGTAAAAATACACAATAGTTAACATTTCGGAAATCTTCACAAACTGTAAAAAATCCGTCTATATTTTTAATATGTACTCTCTATTGTGCGGATCTTCTCTGTAGACGAGAATACCGATGCTAACGCAATATATATCAATGCCATCTCCACTCTACGTCAAGAAACGCAAGGTAGATAACCATAAAGATGAATAAATAAAAAATAAAAATAAAAAAACTCGCGTCTCATTAATTCACGTGCACGTGTTAATTAATGATGGCTACTTTTTAAACACACAAGTATAAAAAAAATGAATTACAAAAAAATGATAATAATATAATATTAAATTCGCGCTAATTATACATGCTCTAGCCTTGTAAAATAATGCATTCTGAGTTATAAATTTTGCTATTTTTGAGTTGTAATGTTTTAGCATGAAGAATTATCAAAGATAATTTTAAATACTTATAATAAGAAGTACATGTTAACCTTAGAATTAGTCAAGTTTTATACAATTCTGAACTTGCATAAGCAATAAATTTTAAAGATTCGTCATTTCATAATTTGATTTTAATTTTAAAACGAAAAATTTTTTTCGTCAGAATTTTTCTTATCGATATACTCTGACATTTCAATAAATTGAAATTATATTACGTATATTATGTATATTACTAGTTGCATAAAAATTTACATTTTACATAATCACATTACATTTTATATATACTTACATTATAATTTATTTTACATTTCTTTTTGTTCTTGTTAAAAACCATATTTTCATAATACACAATAATCACATCAACGAAAAAATTGCATAAAAATAGAAATTTAAATATATGTATATGCTTAATATAAATCTGAAATATAAGATATTAATTTTATCTAAACGATCTAAAATATTTTTATGTTTTATACAGTAGTCTTATATATGTAAATATTATGTAAATCAACATTTTATTTTTGTATGCACTTATACCATGCAAAGTAGACAAAGTATAAATAGATAAAAGCGACTTGTTAAAATGTATAATATAAACCATTAATCCGTCCAAAAACATATCAAAAACATAAGAACAAAAAACCAAATATATCTTTTCTAGTTAGAATCGAAGCGAAGGCTAAAATATTTTACGTAAGATATGATTTCCATTTATCCGATGTTGCTATCAAAATTTAAAAAAAAATGAATATCGCATCCGCTCTAGAACTTTACGACACAATAATTCTAAAGCGAATCTTGCAACTTACACACGGAAGAATTATCTGTCGCGCTTCCGTTGGCACTAACAATTACGTTAATTAACTCTCTGTCGCAACTAGCCTTCTTTACGGATATGTAAAGGTTTTCCTGTAGGCGTTGGCAGGCTTAACTAACATACGAATATATTCCTACGTGGTAAATACATCACGTATATTAATAATAGTGCGTAACGAATACACTTTAAATCCGGAATATCAGCGCATCTTTCACTCTTACCGGCTTATACTCTGATAGGCTTAAATGTCTGCAACCCGATGTTGTGATATCACGCCAGTTTCTCGCTCATTTATGGGGTGTCTCGTCGATTAAGAAAGCTCGCTTTTCAATTATAGATAACGATATAAAATAATGTTGTAAAATTGTCGAGATTAAACTTATATTGTAATCATCACCTTTCGTAATAAAATTTTTAATGTTTTAGTAAATCTTCCACATATTAATATACTTCGTTCAGTAGCTAATTAATTAATATTCCAGTTCATCATCTTATATCGAAAAGATGCAATTTTAATATTGTTCCGATGTTTTCTTATCAAAATCTCAACTTACAACGGTTTGAAGAAAATCTAACGAAATACCGAGATATCAGTGGAGCACCTTGTATACGCGCGTACAAGTAGATGAATACACGAACAGTGCATACGTGATGCACAAGTGCGATCCGTTCAGCCTGCATGTGATGCATGCGCTCGGTACAGAGATTAAAGTCGATCGTTTTTATCGCGTTTCAGCGTGTTGCGATCAAACTTATGATCGATATCACCGGATAAACTCGAAGGATAACACGCGCATGCTCTCGTAATGCATTCTTTCGGAATTGCAATTGCATCGCGATCGTCGATGGCACTCTGCTAGCATCCGCGAATAGCGTGCGACCATGGCTAATTTGATCTACGCTCGCACACCGCGTTCTTCACGGACGAGATTTTACGAGAGTTTGCTGTAGGTAGCGATGGGCACAAGCGAACAAACGGGATTATCATATCTTTGGTATCGGGAGCTGAAAGCTCGCACCATAATTTCGTTCTCTCTTTCAATTCCCCGATATGCCGTAAATACGAGAAATATAACTAGTTGAGATATATCGGACGAAATAATTGAATTTGTTTTCAAATATATTTATTTTTTTTATGGTATATCTAAGAATATATAGTACATACATGCACACAAAATTGTATACAAAAATTGCAAGCATAGCGGTATGTCTTGGGACCTCTTACGATAGAAAAAGAATATCATTATTCATTCAGAAACAAGATCCGGAAATATCTTTTCAACGTGATATTTCTTATCCCTATGTTTGGTGCCAAAAGATACAAGTATGGTTGCTTACTTTTAGATTATTTATGACAGAAAAAAATTTATTTGTCAATAAACAAGGCCCAGAAGAGTTCCGTTTAACAAGATATTTATATATAAATACCATACGAATATAATATATATACAACAATAAAAAATAAAATCTTTTTTTTTATAATAATTTCTTACTTGTAAGCATGGAAGAAAAATAACGTTATAAAGTTGCTTTTTAATCAAATGTTTTCATTTTTCTTATGCTGAAATCTTATCTAATGTAACGAAAAGAAAGACTCTAAATATTAACTATCGCGAATAAATAATAACCGGCCAATTGAAAGCGCAAGTAAAATAATGCGCAAAATATTTTTCTTGTATAAATGTGATTTATTGAGTTGTATGTTTCAGTTTTGAATTCGAATCAACTCAGCAACTGTTAAAATACATTTACATTCATTAAATGATTAAATTAAACGTATCTCCGGGACTTTCAGTATGAATAAAAGACGCACGCATTATTATTTTGATTATGTATGTATGTATTCATTTAATTGCGGAATTTAATCGATATTTGCGTATTTGATTCTATAATCAACTTAATCTATGTAAATGTATTTTGACAGTTGCTGAAGATGGTTTTGAATATAAAACCGAAATGTACAATTCAATAAAGGCTTAATTCAAACTAGGCTCTTAATTAACCCATCATACTTATATAATGTGTTTTTATATATTATCAACTTTTGACATGAGGACTTTATTAAAATATTCATAAAATTGTCAATTAATATATACATTTTCTGTAAATTCCATTGCTATGCAATTGTATGCAACGCTCTTTAAATAAAATAAATAAAATAAACAATTTATAAATTAAATATTTATATATAGTGACTCAATATATTCATTTTTACATCCGTCATCTCAATTCTTCTTTTCAGTTACATTATTATTTTATTTGCGAGATATAAATTTCTGAAAAATAATGTTTGCATCAATTAAGAGTTTAACAAGGCTCTGTAATATAACATAAATATAAATTTAAAGTGCAAGACAGGCAATAAGAGCCAGTAGTTTCGTTGGGATAACGCACTGTCATCCGCGATTTGGCTCTAATTGCCTGTCTTACACTTTAAATGTTTGCATCGTTATACACATGAAAAATCTAATCATACTTTCAATCTTTCGTAGATATATATACTCATGTATAGATACATGCTCCGTAGCCAAATTAAATATTTATATATAGTGACTCAATATATTCATTTTTACATCCGTCATCTCAATTCTTCTTTTCAGTTACATTATTATTTTATTTGCAAGATATAAATTTCTGAAAAATAATGTCAATTGCATCAATTAAGAGTTTAACAAGGCTCTGTAATATAAATATAAATTTAAAGTGCAAGACAGGCAATAAGAGCCAGTAGTTTCGTTGGATAACGCACTATCACCCGCGATTTGACTCTTATTACCTGTCTTACACTTTAAATTTATATTTATATTACAGAGCCTTGTTAAACTCTTAATTGATGCAAACATTATTTTTGCATTGTTATACACATAAAAAATCTAATCATACTTTCAATTTTTCGTAGATATATATATATATACTCATGTATAGATACATGCTCCGTAGCTAGTCTATATTAAATAAATAATCCTCAGCACCTGGTCTCGTCCCATCGCGTCGCGCAGAGAGAGAGAGAGAGAGAGAGAGAGAGAGAGAGTCAGGACTGCTCAGGACTCCTCGAGGAGTCGCATCTGCGTGCGTGTCGCGCGGACGAGATTAATAAATCGCGCTCTCCTCCTTTCTCTCGCGCCGACGCGCGTGCTGCCGGCGCAAAAATGCGCGCGGGTAAGCCCATTTGCCGTAGGACCGCGTAAATCACCGTCATTGTCTTGTTGCTTTATTACCGTCCCCGCTTGTCCGGCGAGCTCTCACGCCGGCTCCGCGAGGGACGCATCCTCGGGATCCTCAGCAAGGCGTGTGCGACATCAAAGACACACGTAGACGTGTGTACGCGTACGCACACGCGGCGCATATATGCAACGACCGGCGCGGCAAACGAGGCGTTAGGGTTAAGTTAATTCAACCGGCTCGCCTCCCAAGTAGCCGCGCCGCGGAAAACGTGAATCGCTCGTCGGAAGTGCACGGATCGTTTCTGTATTACCCCACGGCGCGATGCTGCGCTCCGCAGCGCAGAAGAAACTGCGCGCAGTGTGGTGGCGGCCGCCAACAGTCGGGGATCTTTGATCATCAGAAGGGGATTAGGTGGATGAATATAAGTCAGAGTCCTCTCCTCCCTCTTTCCTTTCGCTGCCGCCCTGCCCTTTCCACCCTATGCGAAAATGACTAATGCGTTTCACGTACCCGAGAATTACCGCGGGGATAATGCGAAGGTATGGGAGTCCCGTCTGTCGGTGCAATGGTGCGCCTTGGGACGCATTATGTATGGTAGCCTAATTTTATTGCGCCATTCAGAGGGAACGCTCCCATCGCATCATTTTTTTCGCTATGGAGATTACAGCGCGACTCTCTCGTAATA